TTGCATTCTTGCATTGATTTCGAAAACAAACCCGTTTTTCTCGCTGCACCAGAACGAGGCTCTTGTGGTGTTCTCCATGTGGCAGGAACAAACGGAAACGTTAATGCCGGCAATATAATAAAGGATAATGCAGCAGGAATTGCAACCCCGCGACGGGATTCCTTGCTACACTAAGCAGCACGGCACAACTGAAATGACAATAAACAAAAATACAGCAGCCACAACTGTTGAACTGGGCGAAAACCAAAAGAAACCGAAAGAGCTGGAAAAACTGAAAAACTGAAAGCTGGTAAGATGGTGAAATGGTGAAATGGAAAGATGGTCGCAGAGCTGGAATGGCCGAGAATGGCAATTTGGTATGGCTGAAATGCTGAAATTCTGTTCTCGTTGCTTGGCCTTTTCATTTCTTCGTTTCGCTTGCGTTTTTCGTTTATTGAATTCGCAGCATGGCAACAATGGCAACAATTTCTGTTGCATACTTTTCAGAGCAACTCTGTGAGCTAACAACCACCACCAGCTGAAATCGCCCACTTCAGGAAATCCAGGGCCAACGAATTATAAAAACAATGTGGTGAACAGCGGGCAACAGATTAGCCCTGGCAACAAATCATTATAAACTATGCAAGACAGCAAATAGATTACGGCCAACTATTAAAATATCATCGATGTGCATGCCATTTACAATGCATTCGGATTCCGATGAAAATCGGTCAAGGTTCAAGGATTTTCAATTGTTCGGATTTATTTTGCAATGTAATGAAATCCGTTGATAGGGCACTTCAAACAGAATACGAAACTGCCAATAACTTTGCACTAGCAATAGGCTTTTTAGTTTGCGATACTCAATAAATCACACTTTATAATAATAAATAACCAATCGAAAAATATTTTTTCAAAATCTTTAAATAGATGTTCACTTCCATTAAAACCAAATACTTTGCTCCACCAAGTGGTGATATCAGTGACCCAAAAGAACCAGAAAACATTGCATGCGATGAGATTACAAGCCACCAGGATGCCTAATCCTTTTAAATGACATTCCACCATTTAAACCGTGTTCCAGTGCGGATCTGAAACAACAATGTCCTGCCAGCATTTAGTCGGTTTGTTTTGCTGTCTGTGTTGTAGTTGGAATCCTGAATCAAGAATCCCGTAACCTGCAACCCGAATACCGAATCCAGATGACTGGACCATTACGGCTCGGAATGGAAAGATAACCGATTTGCTTTCGTTGCTCTGGTCTGGTTGCAGCAAAAACAATTACGGCAAATCAGATGACGATGACAATGGCCGGGGTCTAAAAATACAACCACGGCAACGAGATAACAACGGAGCAGCTCGATTTCGTTGAGTCCCGTATCTGCGAGATAGATGTGTTTTAAAGTAAGTAACTAGGCGAGGTTCCTTGCCAGTCGGCCAGCTATCCAGCTATCCACCTATCCGCCCATCAGCCCACAATCAAAATCACCCAAACACTCAAAACACCCCACAGAAAACAACAACAACAACAAGTGGAATTCCTGAGGGGGAAAAAAGGGGGCGAGCCAGTACCAACGCTATCAAAGTCGTTGAAATGAAAATGAAGATGAAATAAAATGGAAAGCACAAACAGAGAAAAAACTCAAATTTTCTATGCTGTAAACGAAATTGAAAATGAACAAGCGGAGCGAACACGGACATGGACATGGGAAGCGGACATGGACACAGAGACACCAGCACCAACACCAACACCAACACCAACACGGACAAGGACACGGACACGGATACGGACATGACCGGCACCCGGACGGAGACCCCGGACCCGGACCCGAACCCGGACCTTCACCTGCACTGAGCGAAAAGTAAACAGTCTTAAATGGATCGGGGTGGCAGAGCGATAAAAAGTAAACAAAAGGAACCATACCAATTAATACACAAACGAATTTCCTCTAATTGCCGGATTTCCAACAAGAAGCATCCGCTTTTTGATGGCTCTACGGCCGGAAAGTATACATCCAAGCACTTGTGTCTTGTGAAAGATATATTCCCTGCACTTTTAGCTTTGCTTCCATTAATAATTATATTAAGAAACCATTAAAGTCACATATGACATATGACTATAAGTGAATTAAAACAATAAGTATTTCCATATTAAATCCGGTTTACGATGACTTTGATGCAAATCAAAATCTATTATATGCTAAATAATACTATTAAATTACTCACACCGTTGTAGCTAATAGAGTTTGGCATACTTTACCAAATAATTCCAAGACCAACGAGATTTATGTTGCTGCCCCAAACGCAGTGGAGTGTTTTTCCAGTGTGGATATGGTTTGCGAACCTAACATGGAATGTATGGGATTGTGTGCACTTCGAAGCGTTGGAGGCGTTAGCAAACACCGCTGAGTGCCAGGATGTAAGAGTCAATGTGAGTGGGTGTGTGTGTGTGGGCAGATTGGAAAAGTGTGTGTATGCTCCTGTACGTGTGTGTGTGGAAGGTGACTCAATGGTTTGTGTTTTTTCCGCTTTTCCTTTCTTGTCTTGAAAACTGTGCTCCTCATCTTGTAATGAGCCGGCGAATGGAAAATGGAGAACGCTGATGAGCTGCGTCTTAACTAACCAAAATCGGGTGGTGCGGCGGGCATGAGCAGGTGGGCGTCGAGCTGGGGGCGTGGCAGAAAAGGGGAAAACCGACAGTCCTCACTAGGAATCGCTTAAAAGCAAATTGCGCTGAAAAGCAATCAGCGCATAAGTGCAATACAAATACAAACAAGTTTATTGCTTTTCCCGTTGTCCTCGCGGTCTTTCCGGTCAGGAAGCCTTCTAAATGGATGCGGGGGCGGGCTTAGAGGCAGGGCGTGGCATGCCAGAGGGATTGAAAACGAAATGAGATGCCTGAATGGAGCAGCAGTATGTCCAAAGTGTCCGATTGGCGCACTTTTTACTGGCATGATATATGTCGGTTATTCGATCCGATATGCAGCATCTGCACTTTTAAAGATTTAGCGTGGCAAATTCAAATTTAATGCGGGGTAGGTAGCTAGCTGGATGGCCGGCAGATTTATGGATTCCACTTGACTAAAAGCCTGAAAGATGGCAAATGGATAAGACCCCCCGTAGTGTCAAATAATGGGCAAGCATATTGATAGATGATACCATACAGATGGATAGCGAGTGGATAAAATGGATGGAGTGCATAGCCAATCACGCACAACTGCATTAAATCCAACAAATTAGCTTTTAATCTGTCCGAACTATAAAATAGGCTCTTGCTAATATTGAATATATTATTTGTGCGGTGTTTCAAATTCGATTTTACACCAAGTAACTTATGATAAAATATTATCTGAAAGGGCAGCGCATCACATTCTTATAAAATTGCAATAAATATCTAATAGTTTGCTTAAGAACATACAAAATGCTAACAAAAAAATATTTTATTGTATCATTTCTGTAAATATCTCTTTAACTTGAAACGTGTCCAGTGAATTCCGTCTTTGCTTAAATGCATTTGTAATGACCAATTACCCTGCGGAAGCGAACTCAAATCCAGCTGTGGCATGTGGATTCTTATCCGTATCCTCCACCAGCAGCACTACCCAAAAACCGAAACAAAGAGACCATCATAATCTGGGGCAATCAAATCGTGGATTGCAACGCATAACATAACACATTACGGCGAATGACGACAGGCCGAAACGAGGTGGGGAAACAAGACCAGAAACAGGAACAGAAACAGAGACCGAAACATTAAGTCCTCATCTTCATCACTCGAAGGACTCCGGCGGCTGACTCCTTGCTGTATGGCCGTCCAAAAACAAACTGTCGACACCTGCCATAAGTGATCACCGCTCCCGGCTCGCATTACAATGCAAATATGTCGGAGAGTTCGGAGGTCGGAAGTGCGGGCTATTGCGGGTTATTGCCCATATGGCCGCCGGAGTTGGCAACTCGTAACCCACTCGACGTAACGGAATACATACGGCAAACACATTTAGCCCGTAATGGACTCTTTTTTTTATGGCATTTATAAGCGCGCCAAACAACGTTTCCTGGGAGACAGACAGACAGAAAGTTTTAAAGGTATACAAGTACAAGTGGCTCGGCTCGAAATAAAATAGCGAAATAAATTAAACTAGCCTTGGGGGCCAGGGAACTATGGAAAAATGCTATTCGCCTTTCTGAAATATTTAGGAGCACATTCAATCGATGGAGAAAACGCACTTTCGCTGAGTATTTCAGTGGACCGCGCTTTCATGCGAACATTATTGTAGATTTTCCGAGTTTTAAAGCGCATATCTTCTCAACGAAGTGCTCTGCTTCATTAGCTAGATTAAACTACAGGTCGTACTAATTTCTTAAAAGGAAATTGGAAAAAGGAAATCCCCGCTAAATATAATCCAAGAATTACAAACTAGTATAGATTATTTCCAAACTTGAAGGCTTTAAAATCTTAAATAATCTCCATAACCATAATCTCCATAACTTCTTCAATTACATGTACTTCCTGACTGAAGATCAAACTTAAAGAGTTAGCATGTGAATTTACAAGCCTCTATCAAAAATTCGGCTTACTATTCCATTTCTAGGAGTGTCTATACTCCGCATTCAATAGCTCTCTACGGCTCTGAAGATTTCCCGTTTATGCCCACACAGTAAAAAATATACATTACCATGTAAGTTGGGCCTAAGTAATATTATTTTTTTATTATTACGGCGCATGCAAAACAAAGCAACTTTAAGGAACCTTTGCGTTTTTGAGTAAATCCTGCTATTAACGCAAGGGTATTTCTGTTTCAGATATATGTTAGGTGGAGCTTTAGAAATTAGTTATACCCTGTATTCATATGTACTTTGCTGGCTTATCATAGAAGTTAATTAAGAGTTTGATGCAAAAGTCTAGCTGAAATCGATCTAGTTTTCTCCCTGTGCACTTTTTTCGTGGCGTAGCCAATAAAATGTGCGAAAAAGTTGATGCGCGGCTCGCGATTGCCATTTATTTTTATTGCCGCACTTACCTGCTACTTAGCGCCTGCCGCCTTCTTTTCGAGAGCACGTGGGCGTGGCCGCTCACTACGCGACGACACAGGAAACTTTTGAGTTTGAGTTTGAGTTTTGACTTTTGCGCGGTGCGTGGTGTGTGGTGCCTGCTTTATGTATGATTATATATACTATATAAATATATATATATTGTATGTATTCTGTGTGTGTGGGTGTGTGCGACTGGCACTTTAATCAGCAATGCCAGCTGCTTCTTTGTCGATTTTCCGGCTTTTCCTGCGTGTAAAAAGGGGGCAGGTGTTGCTGCCGCTACTTGGCCAGAAACCAGAAACCAGGAAAAGGGAAAATGTGAATGCGAATGCGAATGCGAAGGGAAATTCGCACATAACACTTCCAAAAGGCCATAAAGTCGCGCATATTTATAAGCCTCGCCTGTCTCTCTCGATTTCCATCTAGGCGCTGCTTTATGCCACCTTTTTATGACCCAGTCAGTACATACGTGTAGCACATACCTATATACTCGTGTATTATCCCAACTCACATGGATTGTATTGAGCCCCAATACAATACCATTTGCACTTCATGCCAAGGAGCCACTTCAATTGACATCTTGCAACCTTCCAATAGCCAAAAGATCTTTTTCGTATCCGTCAGCTGCGTCACATTTGTTTCGCATTTGCCCGTTTTATTGCGCAAAATTGAAGGCATACTTTATTGCCGGCTGGATTTTTTTGCATAAACACAATTTATGCGTATACAATATACTAAACATGACTTGAAATACAAAAAAAAAACAAAAAAAATGAAAAATGAAAAGAGCCCGAAAAGACGTGACCGAAAAAAGAAAAGCTAAGGGAAATGAGCATGTGGAAGCGGGAACCCGGGAGCAAAAGTTTTTAATTTGCTTAGACGCGACCAAAAGTGTGCTGCATAGCAGCTTTACTCCTGGGAAAATCGAGCTATATAGCTTGGCCATAGCCTTCGCAGTTTTAACCAGATTAAATTATCGCCTTTTCTTTGTATACATATATTTTTATTTTGGCCCGCTGCTGTTGCTCCTGGCTCGTTGATTCGATTTTTGCTACCCAAAATGAAGAAAAGCAGCAACAACAAAATATGTGTATAGGCATAAAAAAAAAATGAAAGCAAATCCGTAAGTAGGCGAGAAAAGTTCGAATAAATTGAGTGAAAGTTCGCAATTCGCCTTAAACATTTTTGCCATCTTCTCTGGCGACGGCACATGGAAGCAACTTGAAATTTTCAGCTCGCAGGTGTGGATTTTTTGTTCGTCCTTTTCTTTTCAGGATCTGAAAATTTCTTGGTACAAGTTTGCACGCTGGCAGCTCAAGATACAAAAAAAGAAATTTAATGTGTGGCAGCATATATTTATTGGTGCAAGTTTGAGATCGCAGATCAAACTTTTTGACACTTTTGGCGTTTCCTTAAATTTTTAATTTTCTTGAGCTTCTGAGGACGTTTTAAGTTTGTTGTTAGAACTCTGCAATAATTGCCCTTACAAAATTTTAAACTTTTACCAGGAGCTTTGGGACATATGAGTTTTATTGTCTATAATAATATTTATGTAATAATTAGTATCCTGCTACGCCAGCGGGCTTTAAAATATGCAAAATTCCCACTAATTCAAAAGTTTAAGTATGATTTTTAGTAGTGTTATTTATTTTTGAAACGTTTTTGGCGCTTCTTGAATGAATTTCCTCTTCAATTGGGTTAGGCTGTGCAGCAACAGCCTCGGGACTTTAAAAGGCTCATCCCCACACAGAAACACACACGCACACACACACACACACGACAATAGCAACGCACAACACCCGCACACACACACAAGTGCAAGCACACACAGGACACTTACGGCTTGAGTTATTGGGGCAGGCCCAAAAGTATGCTAAGCTTTTCGCTTTCGCTCTGCAGCTGCAGCTGCTGCCAGCGAATTGCAATCAACTGGATTTCACTTTTCCGCCTGCCGTCGTCTCACTTTTCATTGTTTACGTTTCACTTGTACGTCTCTCGCCTTCCTTGTTTTCGTGTTTTTCTTGTCAATTGAGGAGAACCCCAAAAAGAGAAACAACAACAATGCAATATAGATGGCACACTCTCACACACTCAACCGAAAAAAACAACAAACAACAGATGCAATTGGCGGCGGCGGCGGCGGCGACGGCACGCGCTTCCCGACGCGACGCGTTTTGAATTTGCCGGCGGTTGAGGGGGTTAACTTGCTGGGCGGCGCGGTGGGGGGTCGACGTTCCGTGGGTGGCGGACGGGGGCGTGGGACGCGGGACGCGGGGCGTTCAGGACGAGCCAGCCACAATTGCAATTTGGCGATCGCGATCGCGACCGTTTCACTGCCGTTCCTGCAGCGTTTGAATTACTCGTGCTTTTCAGTTCTGATATCGGAGCGAATTCATATTTCGAGGATTCGCATTCGAGTTCGAGTTGTGAGGCAAGACGATCCGAAACGAGACGAAACGAAAGAAATCGAATCGAGTCGAGTCGAGTCGAGTCAAATGCAGTGAATATCCCGCCTTCAGTAGCGCGACACAAACCGTTGCGTTCGATAACCTAAACGAAACTGAATCGCCGAAGCACTCGAAGCTCAAAACTCGGCCAACGCTTCGTGTCGCCTCGTGGCCGTTCGTCAGCGTCTCGGCCCACGAGTTCCACACTTGCATACACGCGCGCACTTACCTTTGGCACCGTAAACACGGATGCGTGTGGGTGTGTGCGTGCGTCGGTGTGCGTTCGTCGATGCTGCTCCAAACCCGCTCCCCGCTCCACCACAATGCCATCCGCTTCGTGTGCCGTTTTCGGTCGATGCGCAGGCGCGTGAGGAACGCGACTGTGGACTGCATTCGCACGGGAGATGAGCAAAAGTTCGATAAATGCCGGCCAGAGGTCGCCAGGGGTCGAACCACCCCAAAATTTATAAGCACGTGTAATGTGGTTTCGCACTCGAAATGTTATAAACAATTGCAGGGGGGTTGGTGGAAAACAAACACACCCACTGCTTCAATGAGAAGATACATTAATCCTACAGATCCTACATATGTATGTATGTAGCATCAGCCCATTATCTACCGATATATGTATGTATGTCACTCTCGAAAGTTTTAACATTTCCACAAAGCAGGGTAAATTCAAAGTAATTTACCTAAGAACTGTAAACTGTTAGTCTTGCACGTCTCTTTCGCTTCGCCCACTGATTTTAGCTGATAACGAAAGCGATTTGGTACCCACATTTTACTTCCATTCGTTCTTCGTTTTATTCGTTCTTCTGTCAATTTCATTTCAATTCTTGTTCTCCGTTATTGTGCACATCTGTGTATTCGTAAACATGCGAATCGTGTATATGTACATAGTTTGTGTTCGGTGATCTTTTAAAACTTCTTGTGGTACTACTTTATTGAGGATTTACTTATTGAAGAACTGCACATTTGCTTTGAGCTAAAAACAATGCACCATTTCAACATTTGACGCCAATTTATAGTTGTGATACAATGTACAATGTGAATATAATGAATCAAATAAGATGTTTACTACTTATTTTCCATACTCACAGTATTGCAAATAGGCAACCTCGCCCACTTGTTATCGAAGGGGCGGGGCATCGCTGGCGGTCCGCTGTGTGGACTCCATTTAGCTGACTCCGCTCGTGTGGCGCCTCCGAGCGACAGTCGTGGCCGAGAGGCAGGCAGCGCTGCAACTGCAGCGGGAGGCACGAAGAGCCCAGCGCAGCGTCGTCGGCAGACGCACGATGTGGCACAGACACAGGACGCAGGACACGGGACGGACTGATGACTGCTGCTCATGTTGCATGCTGCACGCTGCAAGTCCTCCTGCTTCGCCCGCTGCTGCTACTGCTGCTTTTGATGCTGATGCTGATGCTGATGCCAGCGGACAAGTTCAAGGGAATTCCGTTCGCGCGACAAATAAATTACGCACCCGCTTCCTGCACTTCCTCGACTTCAGCTTCAACTTCAACTTCGACTTCAGCTTCGCCATCAGATACTCGAGGCATTTGAACTCGGCCAGTGTGTCACCCCGCCTGCGGATCCGACTGCCACCATCTTCCTTCTTCAAATTATGCATGTTATGCATGATTATTGCATATCAGCTGAATTTTCAGCATAAATTTCTAAGCTGCAGTTACAAGTAAAAGAAAATTATAATAACCGAATTGCTAAACAACCATTAACATTAATGATTACGCACTCTATGTATTCGCTCGGAAGAACAGATTTTTCTACTATATATTGCAGAAACGTATTCGAAAGGGCCTTTTTTGAATATTTGTATTTATTTTCTTGGTACTTCTTCATTGAATTGGGCAAAAAATATGAATATCATAGGATTGCTTCCTTCTAGGAATGATTCATTCTTAACTGTTACACATTTGTCACACATTTTGCTTGATTGAATATATTTTATGGTGTGGTTTTCTTCCGGTGCATCCTGCTTTCAGGTTGTTTTCCCTGCGCGTTGCACTTTGCTGACTTTGCTTTACTTTTGCACTGACTTGCCACTCGGATTCGAATTTCTTGGCTGGTGCGGCGGGGAAGTCTCTTATGGCTGCTCACTTGAACGGTTTTCGCCGTTGTTGTTGTCCTTGTTGTTGCTGCTGATGGTTTTCCCCTGATTTTTGCCATGTTTTTGCTGCTTTTGGCAGCCAGAGTCCTAAGCCCTTTGCACTCACTTCACTCGGTTTGCGCATCGTCGAGCAGCATCAAGTTGATTTTCGACCAACCAACCCAAACCCACCCAACCACCCACTCACCCACTCACCCAGTCCCCGGCGAAAGTTGTCATTAAAAAATTGCACTCAGCGAGCCAAAAAGCGTTGTTGCAACTCTGTTGCATGCAGGTGGGCAAAAGTTGCGGGTTGCTTGGACGTGGCGAGGCGAGGGGAATTTGCTGCGGCATGCGGCACAAAAAGTGCAGTGGCAACATCAAGGCTACCTTGGAGGAAACTTTCTGCATTTATGCGAAACGCCGCAGCAGCAACAGTAGCAGCAGCTGCAATGAATTCATCCTTCCATCCTTTGCCACCTTGCCACCTTGCCACAAAAATCCTCTGTCTTGAGGGGCTTAAGATATGGCTAGGACGTAGAACACAGACCCCTGCGAAACTGGCAGTCTATGAGCCATTAAGGTCTCATTTAAATCAAGAGCAGTCTGCTAAGCGTTTTATGTAGACTACCACCACGCATTTGCCCTTCACTCTTAAATGTAAATTTCTTTTTATATATTTATATTTATCTATTTTGCCTTTCAGGGGTGGGATGTGGCATGTCCATGAACTTTTGTATCCCCCGTGGAATCGGTTCTTCAATAAGCAAAATACTTGTATTTTGAGGTTCTCGCAAAAATGGAAAGCGGCGTATTTCAAAATATACATATCTGAATGTATAGGCTGAAGTTGTCCCTGAACTTTTGCCATCCCCATGGAGGCCTGACTTTTCAATAAGTTCGATTATTATTCATGCCAAGGAAAGTGAAAGAGAGAAACACGTTGAATTGAATGTGCATTAAACAACTTGAATTTATATGGAGTCTCGTTTGCAAGACCCTAAATGTATAATGTATAGTCCTGAGAATTACACAAATTAACAGATTTTAAACATTGCCCTTAGCCATAATAGTGTTCAATAACTGCTTAATTTTCAAACGCAAAGCACACAGCTCAATGGCTTATTAACTTAAAAATTGTAGGCAGACAAACATGGAAAATATCCTGCGGGCGCTTTGCAAAAGGAAGTCCATTATAATTCGCTTAAAATGTCGATTAATTAGAAATGTGCAATTATACTAGCTTAAGCATCGATTTACTAATCGGCGTCCACCAATGGGTTAAACGTATACCCCTTTTCAGGCGCCACTGGCTTTCAGCACCCCTCTTATTTTCGTCCTGGCTTTTGTGCAGTTTCTGGTTGTTGCTTATCCTGCCGCCATTGTCCTGGCAGCCCCCTTTGTTTTAGTGCAACAGCCACGAAATGCAACTAAGACGACGAAGACGGGGCATTGTCAGTGCCGACGTTCACCTGAACGCCTCCTGTCGCCTCCTCAAGGTCCTTCCCCGCTGCCACCGCCACTGCCACTGCCCCACTGCTCCGCATTTGAGAATCCTGCGAGTCCCAAGTCCCGCATCTGCAACATCTTCGTTTCGTCCCACTGCCGACTTGTTCGACTACACGGCACACAATTACGGGTATTCATCGTAGTTGCTGCCAATGTTTTGATGAAACAAACTGTGTTCGGGAGAAATACAATTTACATTAATGCTTAAATCATGGTTGCAGCAAATACAGCTGAGACTGTCATACCAAGCTACTAGTTACTAGTTACTAGTTACTAGCTACTAGTTACTAGTTACTAGTTAACAAATTAATACTACAGAAAAGCGGAAAATTCCGTGGCTTCTTTATATTTGTAATAAATAGTAATAGAAAATAGAATTCGAATGAATCAAGCTCGGCAACGAAGAATATACATTTCGCTTGAAAAACTTGCATGACTACCAACGAGTTTTCTCTCAGTGCAGCTGCCAAAAGACAGCGCTGCGCGTGGCTCTTTGCGTTGCTGCCTTTCAACTTAAGTGAAATAAAATACAATTTATTTGTATATTGTTTTGCTGTTGACAATTGCGCGACTACAGAGCGCAACTTCTTCGCGAGAGGCGCTAAGGGGTTGTGGGTGTTTAAAATTGGGTGTTCCTAATGGCTGCCAGTGGGTGGATGGCTGGTTGTGCGTGTGGCATGTGCCTCATTAGTGCTACATTTTCGGACGGGCGCCCATTGTCTTGGATTGCCACCCAAGTGGCAACTGGACGACGTGACGATGTGCGCTTTTAATAGCGTTTCGGGTTTGATTAAACAGAAAGCAGTGGCATTCTTTGCGGAAAGTAGGCCACACTTTCTATGCATTGTCCAAACAAATGTGTGTACGGAAAATAGCTGTCATTATGATACAAAAAAGAAGCTAGTTGTGTTCCAAAGGGCGTTATGAAACAACAGTATGCGTGGCATATGCACATATAATACTCAATTTTAATACAAGGATTCCAAAGTTCTTGCACTACTACTTTAAGAAAGGCCTGATTTGCAACTAAATGATTTTACGAACTGTAATTTAATACATACGATATCAAATATCAAACTTGATTGTAGTGTGCAAAAATAATTAGTGTTTCGCGCATACATAAGGTAAATTACGTAATTACATAACGTAAATGGTAAGATAATTATGTGAGTATAAAATTGATTGCAAACAGGAGCATATTTTGCAAACTAATCAACGCTTTAAGCCAGGGCTTTGGTGAAATTCAAAATTCAGAAATGTAAATTTTCACAGCCTTTTTTTGCCACTTGGGTAATCAATCATTGCAAATGACATGGAAAATGGCAAGATCCGACTGAAATTAAAGCCAAGAACAATAAGCGTTTCACAAATATTCAAAAATCAATTCGATGCGATTACTTAATTACTAAGCTTCCGATAATACATTGAACATCAGATACCACACCGAAATTCTTGGTTTATGGTGAGTGGAACAATGCAGTTTCAAAGCAAACAAAACCAACAAA